GGTGTGAGATGAGTGGTGTGTGATGAGTGGTGTGTGATGAGTGGTGTAAGATGAGTGGTGTAAGATGGGTCAGTTGTTGTGAGATAGGTGGTGTAAGATAGGTGGTGTGAGTTGAGTGGTAGGATGAGTGGTGTGGTGTAAGATGGGTGGTGTGAGATATAGGTGGTGTAAGATCGCTGGCGTGAGTAGATGAGTGGTGTAAGATGGATGGTGGTGTGTGATGAGTGGTGGCAGTTGATCCAGGAGGCTCTGTGTACTGTGCCTGCCACGAAATCTGCAATTCGGGTTTACCAAGTGCTGTGCCTGTCACGAAATCTGCACGACCGGCAGCCGCGGCCCAGCGGCGACCACGCGCGCCGCAGCTGGTCCGGGAGGCTCTATGTACTGCGCCTGCCACGAAATCTGCATTTCAGGTTCACCAAGCGGTGTGCCTGCCACGAAATCTACACGACCGGCAGCCGCGGGCCAGCGGCGACCACGCGCGCCCCAGCTGATCCAGGATTCAGGTTCACCAAGTGCTGTGCCTGCCACGAAATCTACACGGCAGGCAGCCGCGGGCCAGCGGCGACCGCGCGCGCCCCAGCTGATCCAGGAGGCTTTGTGTACTGCGCCTGCCACGAAATCTGCACTTCAGGTTCACCAAGCGCTGTGCCTGCCACGAAATCTACACGACCGGCAGCCGCGGGCCAGCGCCGACCACGCGCGCCGCAGCTGGTCCGGGAGGCTCTGCCACGAAATCCGCGCGCCCCGGCTGATCCAGGAGGCTCTGTGTCCTGCGCCTGCCACGAAATCTGCATTTCAGTGGTGTAGAATGAGTGGTGTGAGTTGAGTGGTGTAAGATGAGTGGTGTAAGATGAGTGGTGTAGAATGGGTGGTGTGAGTTGAGCGGTGTAAGATGAGTGGTGTAAGATGGGTGGTGTGAGATAGGTGGTGTAAGATAGGTGGTGTGAGTTGAGTTGTGTAAGATGAGTGGTGTCAGATGAGTGGTGTAAGATGAGTGGTGTGAGATAGGTGGTGTATGTTGGGTGGTGCGAGTTGAGTGGTGTAAGCTGAGTTGAGCGGTGTGAGATGAGTGGTGTAAGATGGGTGGTGTGAATAGGTGGTGTGAGTTGACTGGTGTAAGTTGAGTGGTGTAAGATTAGTGGTGTAAGATGAGTAGCGGCGACGGGAGGCGGAGGCGGGAGGCGGCAGGCGGCAAAGCGGCGGGAGGCGGAGCGGCGGTTGCAGAGCGAAAAACTAGAACCCCACGTAGTGATGTGGGGAAAAATGAACACCAGGCACTTTGCCATGCATATGCCCCTTAGATGTTGAAGCCTCTTGGAGCTCTGCACTCTGAAGTCTAAACCCATGCACAACACGAAGTGATTAAAAAGCTTCGAAAACGCACCTGCCCAAGGCGTGTCCGCATGCCGTCCTGGATGCCGATCGGCCAGGCGCTCCCATCAATGAGCGCCTGCAACGAGCGCTGGGTCCCGCAAAGGCAGCTTGGCTCGGCATTGACTCATCTCTTTTTACCGGCGCAACAAAACATGATTTGGGCCTGGTTGTGATTGGTCGTCACGAAGGCGTGCGTCAACCTCAAAACGGCTGTGGGTCATGGCTACAGGACAACGTAACTTGGGCATGACCTACCTGGAAGGTCAAGCTACATGGTGGACCAGGGTTCCCATCCTCATATCATTCTTGCGTGGGGCCCTCTACACGAGCGTCTACGTGTCTTTTACCAGCCCGGGGACAGAGTTCCGATTTCGTGCAGACAGGTCGCCAGTTCATGGCCAAATGCCTCATGCGGAAACAGCAGACTATCCACGCAAACCGGCAGGCTGCCGAAGAAGCAAAAACGGGTCATTTCATGTCACTCTAAAGCGGTTTCTCGACAAGGACTCTCCAGGTCTTCATCCAAGAAGCAAAAAGCGAAGCCCAATCTGGTTGAGGCGCCTGAGAAATGATATTGAGTTACAAAGCTTACTTGGAGAAATGCAAGACGAAGTCAAGTCATGAAATGTTTCGTCTCTGAAGACGCCTACAACGAGAAAAGGACAAACCTGTTGTTCGTCGGACATGTCGGCTTCGACCATTGTAGTGAATTCAGTGGCCCGACCTCGTTATCCTCTGGTTCCCGTGCACATGCGAGCAGTAGGCATACGCCAGGGCTCTGTAAAGAGCAGAGATCCCCAAGGAACATGTGAAGGCCTGGCTCAATGAATGCGAGTACGCAGAAACCCGACAGTCGGCCTGAGATTTGGGTATGTATGTATGTACGTATGTAGATATGTCTGTATGTGTCTATCTGTATGTATGTATGTATGTATGTATGTATGCATGCATGCATGCATGCATGCATGTATGTATGTATAGATGTAAATAAATATTCATGTGTGTATGTATGTTTGTTTGTATGTCCGTCTGTCTGTCTGTCTGTCCGTCCGTCCGTCCGTCCGTCCGTCCGTCCGTCCGTCTGTCTGTATGTCAGTTTGTATGAATGAACGAATGAATGAATGAATGAAGGTATATATGTATGTATGTATGTAGGTATGGATGCGTGCACGCATGTACTTGTTGATGTGGATCAACATAAAGAAGGTCCTTGCAGCACATCTACTCAGCTTGAAAAGGTTGAGCATTCTTTCTGGGGTGATGGTCATGGCACCGAGTCGCCCCAAAAACTTGAAGAAGTGCTCGGGAAGGCGATCCGGGCCAAAAAGGTTGTCTTCCGATGCCTGCTGCTCATCCTTGGTTGCAGACTCTGCAGCATCTGCTAGAAGTACCTTGTGGGCAACATGACACTGGCTGCTCCACACAGTTGCACTTGCCATTTCCTGTGATTGGCTTCTCCACATGTAGAGTATTCTATTATATATATATGTCATTTATGTTATTACATCTTATTACATATATTCTTATATAGGCAGGCTGGCGCTGAAACCTAAACGGTGCTACCCACCAGTATCATCCAGATGCAACAGTAGCATACAGCGCAACTCAAAGCAGCTACTGACTAGTGCTGGGGTCTCTACCCCGGTTTCGTTATGGATAGAAAATTTGGGTCAGATCAAAACTGGGGGCCCTCCCTTTCACATCACAAGAAAGTATGTTCTGACCACTCTTTGGACCACTGCCCAAAGATTTTGTCGATCTCATGGTCTCCCCAGGGAAGAACCGCGCAGTTTTTTCTGAAACCAAGTTGGCGAAAACCCTGTGCGAGAGCCCTTAAGGGCAAGCGGTTCAAAATTGTGGAAGCGAATGTGTTGCCTAGGAAAGAAACGGTCTCCCCAACTTTTGCCGGCCAGTCCGGCCTTGGCCGTCCCAAAGTCTCCCGATTTGAAGGCCTGGCGGCGGCTGGGTTGGGGAATTCCCAAACCGTGGATTTTCGACACAAGTCCACGTCCACCTCTGCACCAGCGTTGATCGTTTGTAGAAGCCTCAGCGCATGGCGGTGAAGCCTCCGTCCCCACCCTGGACATACACTGCACCGTCCGTCCAAGGATGAAACATCACCATAAGGCCACAAGCCCCGTCTGTAAGTTTCACTCAGAAACTGGGCGACAGGATGGTCGAAAGCAGAGGAGGAGATGAAACAAGGTAACACTGACGACGATTACGATGATGAAAATGAGGATAAGGATGATGATGAAGAGCAGGAGGAGGAGGAGGCGGCGGCGGAGGAGGAGGAGGGAGGAGGACGAGGTGGAGGGCGCAGAAATAATCGCACATGAAAAAATATAGCAGCGTGACTTCTTTATCCCTTTTGAGGGATGGAATGCAGTCTTTGAAGCTAGCGTTCCTTGCAACGCGCTGCAGACAAATGCTAGTCGCAAGTTGCATCCACAGCTAAAGAAAACTCGGAGAGAGCAGAGCGACCAAGTAACGACAAAAATAACTAAAGAAACAGCACAGTCAAGCTGTCACAGGACGTTGACGCCGTTAGTGTGCCTTAAGCGCATTATGCGCCCGTGGGTTCACTGCAACGCACGCAGTAGCACAACGGTTTTTCGCTTTCATGGAATGGTCTGCAGTCTTTGAAACCACTGTTGCAGTGCGCTGACCTGAGAAGAGCAGGAAGGAAACATGACCGACTGACAGAGCGCGTTCTGGCGCCAGGGGATGAGCCAGGCAGAGAGCATGATTTCGCCCATAGCTTTCATTCTCAGTGGGAAAACACACGCCGCTTCAGCAACTGCGGGCGGGCCTTGCAAAAAACGGAGGGGCAACATCAAACCCTGGCCGACCAACCAGTTCCTACGAGAGCTGCCTACCAGGAATGCTTGGCGCCAAGCGCCAACGCAACAAAACATCACAAACAGGTTGCAAAACCAATTCCAAACTGGCAGGTGTAACACGTCCGACATCATGATTTGCGCAAGCGCCTCGCCTTCGGAAAAGCATTCTTGAATACTGCAAAGAAATGCATATCCAAGGTTGGAGGAGCGACGTTTTTTGAAGGGCGCACGTCTAGCGCCAAAGCTCGCCCTTTCCTAACGGCTTCAAAGCTTTGGTCAGTTGGGTCAGCCATTGTCGCGTGGTCTTCTGAGATTCCACGTTGAAAATCTGTCGCCGCAACTGAAGAGTTGGCGGCACCGCCGTCCCACTCGTGGAACGCAGCAGCTCCAATGTAAAACGACGCTGGTTTCTGAGTAAGACTTGAGGCAACTGCTTCTGCGCGTAAACATTATAAGTGATGCATGCGAAGAACGAAACGCAAATATAATAAGGCGCGCTATGGCTGCTTCATCTAAATGGATGACCAGAGGCAGCCGAGCTGCAGGCCCCTCTGCCAAAGTTAAAGTTGATCCATCTGAAAAAGGCATGGCCTGTAGCAATATTGACATTGAACTTCATTGAACTATCTATCTAATATGTCATATGTCTATGACCATCACCAGCATCAAATGAGATTGTTTTTGCTTTGCGATTGATTTGTAAGATTTTGTCAGTAGGCAGGAAGCATTAAGCAGGAATACCGCCGCAGTGTCTCTGCGTTTGTCACCCTCTTGACTGGGTGCCTTGGTCATCAACAAAAGCGACCCCGCCAAATACAGCCCTTTTTGGGCCTGCCACTCTACAGGGGTTACAATTTGACGAAACAGCCCGCGCAAAACCTACATCGAAGCACAATGAGACACCCGCCTTCTCCCGCCGCTCCATCCGCGATGGAACGTCACAAGGCAGCAGGCCACAGCCACTTGCGCTTCTTGCGCAGGCTTCCCAAAGGGACTTGCACAAATTTCTCCTTCGCATCACCTGGGGCAGACCCGGGAATGCAACCCACAGCTTGGCGCAAAATTTGCTCACGCAGGCGCAACTCCTTAAGTAAGAGCATCAAAGTGCTTCAGCCAGACCCACAAACTTTGCACGTAACCTCACACCTGGCACAACTCATTTGCTTGCTGTGGCGTTTGGTACATGTCACTAATGAGCAGCACCGGTGCAAATCACACACCAAGTCAAATTCTTGCAACAACTCACTTCTCACGCCTACACTAAATGCACAAAGCAGAGGCAAAGTTTACAGACTGCGGCTTCACGGTCATGGACACGAGCGCTTGCCCAGTCGAAGCTTTGCTGTCTTGCTTGCTGCAAGCTGCTGAGCTTGAATTTGGGTGAGATATGGTCAGTGGCCCAACCCAAGGGGCTTTCACCTGGAGGCCACATTCGAACAGGATTTGGATGAATGACGTTTTGGAAAGCCGCGCGCAGGTGACTCAGCAACCCTCAACGCCACACTATGGCGCACCGTAATCGCAGCTCTGTTCGAGTAAACAACAAGGCTGTCTTCTGATCCTATGGTCCATCCAGCGTCACCAAAAGTGGCTCCGCAGAGACAACAGGAAATGAGGACCGCGTCTAAGGGGCCTCCGCAGTACTACCCGTGCTACATTTGTACTCACACCTGTCTCACAACGCCTGTATCTCAACGCCTCTATCTAAACACCTGTATTTATATAACCAGCTGTACCTACACACCTGTGTCCAAATACCTATAGCCTATATCTATGTATGTGTGCTCTAGACTATGGCAGTTACATCACCTCCATCTCTGCACCTGTATGATGATAATAAGACCGACGACGACGACGACGACGACGACGACGACGACGACGACGACGACGACGAGGAGGAGGAGGAGGAGGAGGAGGAGGATGGTGATTGGGCAGTTGATGTTGGCAGCCATTCTTTGGGAAAAAAGCATGGCTCTGGTCCGACAAAGCAAGGATGCATGACAGAATCACCGCAGAACACGACCACTTGGTCATGACAAAGGATATGGTTGGCTTGCAAAGGATGTGTGCAACACTCGGAGCCGGTTCAAATCAGAATCAGCTTTGAACTGTTCTAAAGTGAGCTCATTCAATTCAACAATGTTCCCCACACTCCATCGGGTCTTGGGATAGCACTCTTGCCATCGAGGTACCTGTCACAGCTGGCGGCTTCTCAAGCATGCACGAAACCCTTTGTCAGTATTCATTGTGGTCTGAAATGCACTATGACACTATGAGTTCTATGTTTCTTTAACATAGAGAGAGAGAGAGACTCCTAACAAGCCGCTTCTAAAAATGGACACGAATCCTTGGAGGCTTCCGTAGGATCCACGATGCAAAGTAAGTTTCAAGAAAAAAGGAACATCGCATGGTTGTCTTCGGTGCTGGAGGGGTGGTTCAGTCCAACGGTCTCCCAACAACCCATGGATGAAACTGGCGATATCCTTCACGACTATGAGTACCTTCTACCAATTGCGCCCAAGAAAACGGCTGGAGTCGCAGCACGGCCGCCAAAGCACTGCCCACCTCGGGACAGCTTCCCAGTGTTGGAAAGCCAAACCTGAGTGGCCAATATGATCAGAAAGCCCAACAGCATTGGCTCTCCCTTCAAGAAATCATAGAAGTGGAACACTACCTGTGAACCCACCGCATTTTCACGGCATAACTGGTTGGTGCCACTGAGAAGAGCGATCTGAATTCACGTACACACGTACAGCCAAAGGCATGTCGTTCTGCCCTGGGCCAACTCCTACATCACGAGCTCAGCAGTTTTGAGAGTCAAAGAAGGCTTGGCTCCTGGGCCAAGGAGAAAGGAGGAGGAGGAGGAGCAGGGGGGAGGTTGAGGTTGACTGGTGCCCTGCTGGACGCTTCATGATACGAAGTGCGAAGACTTTATGCATGGCCCCTGTTGGGTCTCGATGTTCTGCAGAGCCCATTGATGCTCTCATCTTCGTAAGGGCACTGAATTACTGCAAACGGTCTCCACAAGAGGCCAAGAGTACAAAATGTCTTGCACTTTGTCTGGTCATGCTTCCAACATATGCTTCATGGAGGCCAAAAAAGAAAATACAATGCCAACAGCGCGACACTCCCATGTCGCACAGCCTGCAAATCGTTTTGATTCTGCAGGTCTGAAGGTGACCAGTAACAGCTGCCAATCTCCAGTTTCAGCTGACCTGACCGTGCAAGTGAGCTATCTTATCGTTGATGCTGCTTTTCCAGATTCCAGATGTTGAAAATACGAATGTCGAAAATGGTAGGGGACCATCCAAGAACCCACTAGAACTTATGGATCAAGTCCTCGTTTCATATTGTTTCATATCTCATATTTCTTCAGCCACACCCATGAGTGTAGCTCGAACCATCACGTTTGCTCCGTTGGTCGATGGAATTTGGGGACCTGAAAAACCAACCCACTTGGGAAGTCTGCGTCGCTGATTAGCAGAGGAATGTGGATCCAGGTGTGTGGTTTCAGGTGTAGAAAGGAGAAGAGCGCCTTGTCCTTGACAAAAGCAATAGACTCATCCTTCACCACGAACTGATCACAAAGCTCAGGCGCATCACTGGACTGGAACTCCAACCTGCGCGACGGTGAGGTTTGTGGGGGAACTCCAAGCTGGGCTGCAACTCAGACCTGCTCTACTGTACATCTTCAACAACATCTGGGTGGAGAATCAGACCGAAACAGTTCTGGTGAGCCCGTGCTAGGTTGACATCCCTTCCACGAGGTCTCCTTCATCGAAATGTCGACCCGCGTGGATGAGCCATGGACCATGGCCAGCCAGCTGGGCTTGACTGTTCAGTAGCACAACCCAGTCCAATCTCCAGCAACCTGACCCAGCTATACATTGATTCAGCACCCCCTAGCACCTCTCTAGCTATTCGGCGCAAGAAAAGACGCGCAACGCCTGGGAGGTCGTTCATCCACCGTCACCACGATTCTGAACACCAAGGCACCGCAGCTGTCGGAGGCTTGGCAGGGAGGAGCAAAGCTCTTGGAGGCCTTGCTTGCTCACTTGGTGGGTGCTGTTGCTAATGAACTGCAACCTCAGAAAGGCAGAACGCTGCCGAACATCGACGTGGCACGGGTACAAAGGGAACGAAAAAGGTCGGACTCATAACTTGTTCCAACGAATGCAGTTGAGTCTTTTCTGCAATTCTGTTCCACGAACAACCGGTTTCAAGGACCCCTGAACCAATCAAACAGGTCTTCGATGGTCTTCGGCCCACCGCCGACTTGGGCCGTTTCGCCAGCAGGCTTCCGTAGCCCGCCCGTCTTGGAGAGCCATGCGGCCAGCCTGGGAGGAACTCAAGTCACCCCCTCAGGGGAGTCTGAAGAAATACTATCCATCAATCTATAGGAGCAAGGACGCTACTAGGGGCTCCTGGCCGTACTACTACTAGCAAGATGCTACTAGTAACAAAGGGCATCGCTACTAGGAGCAAGGACGCTACTATCCACCTATTGATTGCGGGGCACTCACTCTCCATCTCAGATATGGCAAAGTGTTTTTGAGACACATCCATCAACAAGTTCCGAAAGAACGAACATCCAGAAAACATGAGGGATTCAAAGGGTGAAGCATGGAGCTGTATTTGTATATGTTTAGATTCCAACCCAGTGATCCCTGTCTCATCCACATCGGAAGCGTCTGAGGAGCCTGAGGGTTCAAACTGTTCTGCTTCTGCAAAGGTAAAGAGGCAGCATCGTTTGTGGCAATAGTAGTCAAACAACACACTCCGTAGCAGACACTGCACACTCCCCTGCCAGGTGACAAGTACATAGCTGCAAAGAAAGCCCGTGTTACGTCTTCAAAACGAGAATTGTGCATGCTGTTTTGCATGACATCTCCAAAACAAGCATGTACGCTAAGCATGTCCACAAATCGCGTGCTAAGTCTGCCAAATAAAGCCAAGCCAAAAGACCTGTCCGAACGCACGCAAAACACAGCTCTGCTTGGTGCAGTTTCGCAGCTCCAAGCACAAAGCAATCGAGAGCCCGCAGAAGCGCCCCATCCCACTGGCATCGCAAGGACAAAACTCAACTAGTTACTAGTTCAGGCAACCTTTTCATACAAGGTTTCCTTGAAGGTGCGGCAGCACTCCCTCAACGCGAACATTTCGTTCGAGATGTTCTCAAGTGAAGCAAGCAAGGCATCTCATCACAGGCACCAAGTATTGCGCCTACCATGAAAGTTTGACTATGTCACCCCTTGATGTGTCTATCTAAAAATGTGTACGCACCACATGCTGCCACTTTGCTGCTTCACCCACATTTATCCAAAATCATTACTTTGGAGCTTGCTCGAAAACTCAAAACGACTGTTTTGGCGGCGTTGCAAGCTCTCAGGTCTTGTCAACCCAGGCATGGCTCTTCAGCCAAG